ACATTGAGCTAAAGATCCAATTGCAGGAAAAGGGAAAAGTCCATCTAAGTAGATGACAGTACTGCTTTGTACCATGGACTCTTGATCAGCCAGTAGTTGAGGAGAAAACTATAGAATTGAAGTGGATGAGATCTCTGGACAGTTTGTGATTCTGATTGCTTGATAGTTTGCCATCTGGAATTGCAGGGTTGTGGGTGAGCAGGACTTCTGTCCAAAGAAGTCTGAGCACTTTTGGGTCATGATCATATGGGGTAGACTTGGATAGAATTGCTTACCCAGTTTGTTCATGGCATCTACCTCTAGAGAATTAGGTGATAGGTGGGAAAAAATAATTCAGAGTCATTGGAGGGAACATAGTATTTTTTATCTGCCTGTTTGCAAGCTAGCAGAACCATAGCACGTGTTTGCCAAACAGTCTTTGGGGGGCCGTTAATAGGTAATGCAACTCTGGATGGTGTTGCTGATTGTAAAATGTCAAGCAACTTGTGTTGGAAATCCTTGAGCTCTTCAAGAGGTATTTGAAGAGTATTGTCACCCATTCTGAGGTCCTGAAATTGCTGGAAATCAGCCATCCAAGACAGTTGACAAGGAACTGAGGGCAGTTTGCCTGTGCAGCCTTATAAAGCCTCAGTGTGCAGCATGAGGATGTAGAGGATGCATGTGTGAGCTGAATGGACACCGCTAATGAAAAAAAATCTGTGATCGAAGGCTCAAGAGGTACATGCACAGCTGAAGTGGAGCACCAAAAGGGACGCTACTCAAAGAACCTAACAATATTCAGGAAAGGGATTGGATATTTATATTGATCAAGAATATCAATTGTTAAAATTAGGAAAGTTTAGAAGCAATATTAAACCTTGTGCTTCAGGGCATAAGCAAATTTCTAAAGATCAGGATGAGACCTCTGCAAGAGGGAGATTATCCTACATCTGCCGACTCCAGGCTATGCCTTCCTCTGAAGTATCTGGTTCTTGCCCTTGTCAGGATTCTAAACTAGATGATTTGGGTGTGATCCAGTATGACAATAACCATGTTTCCATCCTGACAAGAGAGGTCACTTGAGTTTGGGTAGTAGTTTGATTTTAAGAAAGTGTGAGAAATTTCACAGCTGAGAGGCAGGAATGTAAGAGAAGTTCTTAGTTATAAAATTGGGGCGGGGAAAAAAATTATGGAGTAGAATGGATTAATAGGCTGTGGAGGTGGAGACCTAAAGGCATACTTAGTTGGCTATCCAGCCTCCTAGTGTTTTGCCATGTATTCTGAATAAAATTCTCCCTCGCCCAAGCTTTTCTCCTGTGGTTGCACCTATGTTCCATCTCTCCAAGGTGGAATATTTGTTTATAAAATGGGTTTTGTAAAGCAACAATCCATTAGAACATCCTCAATTAAGTTAATTAGAATTAGTTTGGGAACTAGTGTATGCAATACTTATTTGCTTCCCAGGGAAGAAAGTTTAATCCCTATTTGTAGTGCTTGCAGTAAGCCAAGCAGTCCATTTCACTTTTGAGTGTGGTAGACCTTCTACTACAGTGAGCTAACAGCCTGGCCAATTTCCTCACTATTTCTTGGACATAGTGGAGAGTGGCAGCCTTCCACTCAGCCATTCATCTGCAGCAGAGAGAGCAGCAGGGAGCATACTCTAACTTTTATCACTGATATAAGGTACTTAAGATCAGTTATGCTGATGGAGGTTCAGAAACTCCCTCATTTCCCTTATGCCATGGTGTGGAGTGGTTGGCACAAGCATTTGCAAGCCACCTCTGCCACTATTATACCAGCAGAGATTTCCCCTACAGAAGGGGAATTCTCCACCAACTACCTCCCCATTTTACACCACTTACCGGGCATAGAGTGGCCATAGTAGATCAGAGCATCCTGCTCTCTGTAACTATTATATTTACATAATGTTTCCACTTTTTCTCCAAAAGACAAGACACAGCTCACTTATCTACTTTGAAAAAAGTAATTTATTTTCATTGCTTTAAACTTTCTACTGTAGTGTTAGCACTTAACATAAGCATCACTCTTCTACTTTCCTATTTACAATCCATTGTACTGTATACTCTACCAATACAATACATAATTTTCAGAAATGTAAGGGAAAATGCACAAGTTTGTAAGGCTTAAAAAAAAAAAAATGACAAACTCATCTGTACAGGATTCTCAAGTTTACCACCGAAAATGCAGAATTTATACAAAGCATTATTCTACACAGCTCTGGAAGGGCAGATGCTACATTGACAAAGCAGCAACAAACTTACAGAAATACAATAAAATACAGAAAATAAAGAGTGCATATTTTGAGCATGAGAAACAATACAGTTAGTACCACTGAAGTTGTAAATTTAGCAATACCCATATTTTCTAGAAACATGTGATTGCAAACTTGGAGAATGTTGTGAAAAATATTAAACATTATATACACAATGAGGTAAATGTACCTTGGTCTTTTAAGAGGTAACTTAAGTTTAAAGCAACTGACATTGAAGCTTTTCTTTTACATGTATAATAATTTCAACACCCTCGTAATCATTTCAATGGCACAATTGAAACAAGGAGCTAACTAAAGAGAAGATTTCATGGCACTCAACTCACAATTATTTTGTAAAAAAAATAAAATAAAAAAATAGCCTCTTACTTCATTTGATAGCTTAAAGTCCTCACAGAGTCAATCCCAATGTCATTATCCCTATATACAAAGTCCGCATTAGGATTACAAGTGAAAATAGTTTAATTTGGGGGAGAAAGAGTGCGAGTGCTGAACAGACAGCTTCTAAAATGTCCCAGAATTCCAGCTTTCAAGGTTGGAGGGTCCCTGAAGAATTCCAGTATCCCAAGTGGGACTTTTCAGTCTTTTCAGTACCAGTCTGTTTCCAACAATCCTCCTTATGTTTGTCCATAGCTGTCTGGCCACGTCTGTAATCTGAAGTGAGGCTTTAGTGCTATTAATATGCCAATTTAATAAATGCATGAACCTTGAAGAAATGAATGTATAGTGTATGTATATTTACAATAAACATTTGCATCAGTATTTCTTATATCAAATTGTTTTGGTATACCCTTGAGATGATATAAAATTAATATTTTGAATGCTAAAATATTTTGGTCCCCCTGGATGTCCCAGAGCAAATCTGGTGATTTACAAGCTTAGTTTAAAAAATATTAATGTGCGCACATATATGATTTTTACACAGGTAACATAAAAAGCTGCATGTAATATCCAGACACACCCAATTCAATAAAGGCGTTCAGACTGTATAATGGAAAAACACAAGAACAAAGCTTAAACTATTTGTGATGTCATCTGAACCCAAGGTACGTACAGGCTTATTCACAATTTTTCTGTTGTGCATTTTATGATATCATTCACGTTTGTCCTCAAAATAATCTTCATTAAAATTGGACAATATATCAATCCACCTTCTTTTTGCAAATTTCCACTACAAAGTGTTGAAAAATTCAGAGGACAAATTTAGAAAAAAATGCAGCTTTCAAAAGAAAGCTATGGTTAGTAGGTGGGGAAGACAATGTTATCTATATATCTCAGAGTGCAGCTGACTGGAGCAAATTGCCTGCTGCAATCCTGTGAATCTGGCTCTAGTTCTTTTAGCTTGATAGTATTGTATTTTTTATAACACAGAAGTGTGTAATATTTTCTAAAATCATAGCTGTGAAATGTATCTATTTCACTGCTATTGTAAAGGTCAGATAAAATATGGTTTCACGAAAAATAAACCCTAAAATCACCTATCCCCAACTATCAAATCCCAAAATACAGATTACAGAATACAAAGTTGTGGACACACCTGGTGGGTACTCCATAGTTAGCTTTGCATCTAAAATGTGACAAATACCTTTCTCTCTAAAATAGGCAGCCAAACAGTGTGAAATATCACCCAGGGTTAGAAAATTCAGAGGGTGTAAGAACTATGCAACTTTTTACTTGGTTTCGCCTCAAATTTTTTAAATGGGAAGTCTTTGAAATTTGGTTCGGGCTCTAATTTTTCCCATGGTAGTCCTACTTTGTATTGTTGACCAATCTCTTAAAAATATATCACATATCTACAAAAAACCTGCTAAAGAGGTGGATACTGAATAGATCTGATGCAATGGATAGTTTGTTTTTTAAATATTGTATTTAGGGTTATTTTTATCTGTTCCTGTTATAACTGGAAGTTGATGTGCCGTGCACCTAAACTTGATTGATGAGTCCAAGTCCACATAGACACGACTGATTATGCATACAAACCTCACTGACGGATTATGGCCAAGTTTACACAAATTTGATTGATGGGGCTGAGGACATGCCAGCCTGATTGGTTGGATGGGGCAGGAATATGCAAACTTCAAATCTGTGTGTGCTCAGATCCAATCAATCATTCTCCATCAGGAGCTTCACTTTTCTGCCAGACTTTATCCTATAGCAGAAAAGGGGGTTCGCGCTCATCAGCTGATAAAATATTCAGTCAGCAGTTGCACTTCTATCCCCATACCAGGAGGTCTATAATCCCCATTTTATTTACACTTTACTCCCAGTTAAGCATTACAATACCAAGAAACAAAAAACGAAAGCAGTTAGGGTTGCTATACATTGCACAATTCATAGCAGACACCTCAGAAAGCAAGGCAATTAAACCTTATGCCACCTAATAGTACATATCCTCTTCTCCTTCACTCACAGGCACAACACACCTTACTCTTACTACAGCTAGCATATATCACAGAGCAAGCAACACAACTTTACACGCAATTCTAAAATCGCTTCTCCAAATTACCTTTTCTCCACATAGCTACTTCTACTGGTGAAAAATTCCCTAAGCAGGCATATGAAGGTTTAAAGGGGAACAGAGTTAAAATTGCGGTGTGTGAGTGTGACTGAGAGATGACTCTGTGTGTGTGCGTGTGTGCGCGTGTGCGAGAGAGAGAGAGAGAGAGAGAGAGAGAGAGAGAGAGAGAGAGAGAG